GATCGCGGAATAATATCAGTTTTTATAATAATAATAATAGTTTACTTTATTCCAAAAACAGTACTTATAATACAGAATGGAATTCTCGGTATTTGTCACAATATGGCATCTGATTTACTCAAAATATATATAAAATTAAAAATTAAAACAAAATTAATCGGAGGAATTTGTCCACATTTACGACATAATTATTAGATATAATAATAATAACAGTGAGTTTGTTTCAAACAGTATTGTCGATTCAGTTTGGAAATTTTAGCATGTTATAGATTATTGGGTCTAATGTTCTGTTGATATAGTATAGTGAGGTGAAATACAAAGTTAACAGTCATAATACAGCTTAAAATTATGTTCACACTTATGAAAAATAAAATAAACAAAGCGAAAAATTGAGAGGATTATAAATATAAGAAATACAATAACAATAAAGTATGATACTTTAAGGGTGAAGGAAATGGTCTATTTATTGGAGCTAAGAAGGTTAGATAGTTCATTTCTGACGCTATTTTCATCACATAAAGTACGTGCCAAATATGGTATCGTGGAATTTTTATACTTGGACGTACGTGCATGAATTTTTTTGAAAAGACTTCTTGTTTTACCTGAGGAGACACAAGGTTGGAGCTGCGGGTAGAGTGGGTGCTCAGAGTCTGACAAAATTCCTTTAGCGAATTTGTTGCATGACATCAAATGCCTATCAGTGACAATGTCAATGATATGGCCCAATGGGATACCACTCGTCCTACTGACAGTCTTCAGAGTTCTACGAAGTATGACATAGTCCTTTTTAAGCAATTCAGGAAAGAATAAGGGTGAACAGTAAAGAAGAATAGGTAAAATACACGCTGATAACCATCAAGGAGTACTGGATAGCTGTTTCGTTATACTTCTAGCGACTCATCGGTAGTACTCACCCACCTGCCGAGGTTCGAACACACAACTTTCCAGTTACAGGGCCAACGTGCTCATGCATTCCAGTTTCTATGAATCTGTGATTTTAGCGCCAGTGTTTGTCCTTACTGTCGTCCTAGTGGTGGACCCCATGGGTGATGACTTCCCAGTAGAACTCCTTGCTTTTCCAATGTGGTTCTCTAATTGATATCAATCCGTGGTCAAACTAGAAATACTGGTTACAATATAACTATTATTGTTAGTATCAAATCAAAAATTCAAATAGAGAACACGAGGGAACAGTGACATTTACGCGAACAGCTGTAGCACGCAATTTTCCAATAAATATATGAGGGTGGGGTGGGTCACTGGTTGGTTGGTTGGTTGGCGTGGGATTTAGGGCCACACATGTTCGTGAAGACAGGAAAAATCCCATGAAAGAGGTAAATGTGTAGAATGCATAACACTTGGTTAAAGTATTACAGGTGCGCGCGCATGCACGCACACACACATACAAACATACTAGTTCACGCGATTATTTCTTTCTTTTAATCTATTAAATATGAAATAAAAAATTTGACAAGGGAATTTATCAAAATTCAGTAAACAGTTAATTGACAATTCGGCTTTATTATTTTTTTTCTTTCATATAAATGGGGGAGTATTTACGGTATCATTTTATAAGGGTCACGAAATTTTTAAAAACCTTTTTGAGTGAATTGTTATCAAGGTATTGTCTTTTTTTCCCACCAGGTCACATAAATATATATATATATATCACCAGAAGTTTCTTTTTTATTCATAAACTAAGTTTACATTCTAGTTCCTTTGTGGTTCCTCTGAGTGGAACACAGGGCTTTAACCTGGAGCTTTGAAGTTTCAGTAGAACTGGTGTTTTATTTTTATACGGTGAGGGTGTTAGCCTCACAGCCAACCTTCCCTCTTTAGCGGGCTTACTACCACCGGCTAAGTGAGGTTCAAGAGTGTTTCAGCCAAGAACTGAAACCCGGACAACTTTGGTGGCTGGCGAGCATTTTACCACTGAAGCACTCAATGACACAAAGTTCAGTGGTAATCAATAAGTGAAAAGAATATATTTTCAGGAATCGTACGAAATACTAAATACTCCTATATAGCAGAGGTCATAAAGGGCACTGAAATAGAAACTAGGTCAAGCATAAAATACCTAGGGACAGCTGTTTCCTCTGACCTTTCTCGGTTATCCCATATATGGTCGATTTTTAAAAAAATATCCCAGTTAACCTTTTACATTAAGAAGTTAAGACAATCAGTAAGCACTCAACCTCTACTTTTACAGTTTTTTAACTCTCCCTTCTTACCTAATGTTCTTTATTGTCACCTCCCTTATTCTTTCTTGGGCTACTCATATAGGATTATGTCATATTTCGAAGGGTATTAAAGGTTGTCAGTAGGGCATATGGTGTGTCACTAAGTCAGCTGCTTACTGTTGTAGTCGACAAAAACCTGAACTCATGCGAGAAATGTCTGATGATACTCAGCACCCTTTCTATTCACAACTGTCCCCCTTCCCCCCATTGCATCTCATCAGGTAGGATTAAAAGTCATTCTAAAAGATTAAATGCTTGCTCAAGCGAATAAGTACAAAATCTCAACGATACTCTATTTCACCCGTGTTCTATGTGATAGAGAAAATGTTAGGTGTGAAACTTATAAGTTGCTATGTAATTAGCAGAATAAAGGGCTCTTTTGTCTTCTTCTATTTGTAATTTACGATGACAATATTTTAATTATCTTATAATTTCAGTTATTAACATTATTATTATTATTATATACTTTTTGTACATTTTTGAATTTTTTGTTACTGGTAATACCAGAAGGAATGTTGCTATTATCAATTTTGTTTACCGACACTATGTAATGTTTTTCATTATTGTTGCTGAGTAAATTAGGTGCAACATTGTACTAAATGCTGAGAATTCCATGCTGTAGCATAAGTGTTGTTTTGGAATAAAGCAAACTATTTTTATTAATATAATATTATATATATATATATATATATAGAAAGAAGTAGCCTTCTTTACCTACCTGGGAAGCATCGTTTCAACTACAGGCGGACGGAACTGACGAGGATATCAAAACGAGGATCGGGAAAGCACGGCAACCTTTCACTACTCTCAAGTCTGTGTGGAGATCAACAGCAGCGCTCAGCATGAAAAATAAGATCCGGATTTTCAACTCCAGTGTGAAGTCAGTGCTACTATACGGATCAGAGACTTGGGCTGCGTCAGGAAGGGCACTTTGAACAAACTACAGACCTTCATCAACAGCTGTCTTTGCTCAGTACTACTCAAGATCAGATGGCTGACCAGAAAAGATCAGCAATAATGAGGGATCTCTGGCAATGAGCGAACCAACCCAGCAGGAACCGATTGTGCAACAAATATGCAGGAAGAAATGGAGGTGGATTGGCCATACTCTGAGAAAACAAATCATCAGACTGGCATCACACGCCAGGCTCTCTGTCGAGTGGAACCCGAATGGGAAGCGGTGAGTTGGTCGTCAGTGCGAGGGTGACATGGAGGTCATGTGAAGAGGAGATGAAAGCATGTGGGCAGACGTGGAGCCAGGTGAAAACGTTGGCGGAGAACCGAACGTAATGGAGATGTGCGGCTGAAGCCCTAGTTCTCGAATTAAAGGAAACAATTATATATATATGATTCATCTTATTAACAAAAATATTTTAAGATATAATCTTATAAAGCACCTTATTATACTTTCATATGATATGGAAGATAGCCAGAAACTGTAAAAACGAATTTTTCCTACATGATAAATATTTTGAAAATCATGAAACAATGGACAGGTGTTTATTTATTTATTGGTTCTAGTCTTCAAAATTTTCACTAGTAGTTTGTACTCACTCACAATAGAATCAGTTACCTAATCCAAGACCACTGGATGACAAAGTAAGCATATTGGCATTCAGACAGTAACTTGAAACTCGACATCCCAAGAATTATAAATCCTCTGTTGAGGAGAATTTGATAAACAACGAAATACACTCAATTGTTTCAAGTTTGACTACAGATTGATGTCAGTTGGAGAACTAGTGAAAACCAACAGGGTGTACTCAGAAGCTGTTTCGTCCAGACCCCTAAAAACTAACCTACTTAAAAATAAATCTGTCAGTAATGACTGGCTACAGCACGAACTTGACTGGAGCTCTTTCTAGTGAAAAGTCGTGACTAGTGGAGTCCATTTGGTAGTGAATGAGGATAAATACTCGCCTCTGATGACATTGCCTGGTGGTCTTGCTAAAACCACGAATTTGTAGAAGTTATAATTCATGCACTGGCTATTGGATCGGGTCCTAGTGACTGAATGGTCTACGAGCTTGGCTTGTAACTGGACGGAAGGTCCCAGATGCTTACTGCTGGAAAGTCGCAAGGTTTGAAGAAACAGCTGTCCAGTACTCTTTGATGGTTTTCAATGTGGTTCTCTAACTGACATAAATCCGTGATTAAGCTTGAAACAAATCCATAACTAACTCATTTCTAGTGCGACCATCAACCAATGTCATCGTTGGGAAATCCATCCTCACTCCTGGCTGGATGGACCTCACTGGTCACGACTTCTCATTAGAACTCCAGGAAACTCCTTCCGGTAGCCAGTCACTCGCTAGCGAGCATCAGATTAATTTTCAATAGTTGTTCTGTAAGGATTCGATTTGTTCGCTAGTGACTTGCTACAGGGCGGAGTTTCCCTGGAGTTATAGTAAAAAGTCGTGACCAGTGAGGCCATCCAGTCAAGTGTGAGGACCGATGTCCTACCGATGACATTGGTTGGTGCCAGTCGCGCTAAATCACGAATTGGTAGAAGTTAGAATTCATGGACTGGTCATTGAATCGGGTCCCAGTGGCTGAATAGTATACGAGCTTGCCTTGTAACCGGAAAGTCCTTGATTCGAAACCCAGTGGGTGTGTACTGTCGATGAGTTCCAAAACTAGGATAACTCAGCTGTATTTTTATTAAATTTAATTGAATATTAAATCATATGAAAATATATTTTTCACCCTTCCTTCATATTTCCCTTTCCTTTTTTGCATTCTTCCTTTTATAAAAACCAGAGTCAAATACTTTTATCGGAAGCTCATCCAAATGTTAAACTATCCAAGGATATATTCTACAGTTTGATAGTTAAATCATCTGGCAGCGCTACACGACTTATTCGACTACTAATGAAAAGTTTTTTTACACAAGACGAATTAGCTGCTTCATCTTTATCTGGTGAAGGCATATATAAACAACGTTTGGAGCCAAGTGTTACAGAAGCGATAAAAAGTAAGTATACAACTTTTCTTTTTAAAAATTTCTTTACGTTCTCAGTGGAACGCTGGGCTTCAAGCTAGAGCTTTGAATTTTCCAGTAGCAGTGGGGTTGTTAGCCTCACGCATAACCTTCCCTCTTTACTGGCTTAGCGAGGTTTAGGAGTGTGTCAGTGGATGGGATTCGAATCCTGAACCATATGCGTGGTTGGCGAGCACCCTACCCTCTGTGCCACCGACTCAAGTATACATTCATAAGTCTTTATATATTTATTTGAAGGAGAAAGAGAATTTTATATGCCTTTTGATTGTTTGTTTAATCACTCGATGAAGTTGTGATACAAACCACTTTGATCAGCGTTATCCTCCTGGCTATGTCAGAGCTTTTCAGCCAGAGATAATTCTATCACTCAAGTTTGCAATATATAGCTCACCAACACAGTGCACTCTGAATTCTTATTACTAGATGGTTGGTGACAATAGGAAGGAAGCCTTGTCTGACTACTAGTTGGTATGCAATGAAATTATCTAATACAGCCTTACAGGAGATCAGTTGCGAGTCTAAATAACTCCTCAGTGGTAACGTCTCTGACTACAGCACTGAACTGGGTCATCAGTTTTCTTAGTAAGAGTGCCCTAAAGGAGGCTCGAACAAACTTTGCATGAACTATTCAGTAATATTCACTATAATAGGACCAGTAGACTTAGGACTTATGATTAACCATTCGTAATTCACTTTTGTGTAACAGATATAAAAAGCTTATGCCTCACATTGATAACTAGACAGTTGTAACATATCAAGACCCTCCTCACCAACCCCCTTGACAATTAATCTGATGCTTGTCAGTGAGTGACTGGCTACGGGACGAAATTGACTAGAGGTCTTTCTAGTAATAAGTCGTGACCAGTGGGGTACACCACCAGGTCGGGAGTGAGGACAAATACTCGTCTCAGATATGACATTCATTGCCTGGTGGTCAGGCTATAATTATGAATTGGCAGAAGTTTTAGAATTCATTGACTGACCATTGAGTCAGGTGCCAATGGCTGAATAGGCCAATCAGAAGGTCGTGAGTTGGAACCCCTTGGGTTCATACTGTCGACGAGTCCCAAGCAGTAGGACGAAACAGCTGGTTTTCAATGCCTGTCTAACTTACATCCATCCGTGATCGAACCTATAGCCAAACAAATCGCCAGAAACTTACTCCTGAAAATAAAATGCCTAAATTCATTTATAAGTTTTCTATCCAAAACATTTTAAAAGGCATCATTCCTGTTAAACAGGATCATATATATAGTCAGAGATCATGTACTGTATATTTATTTCAACACTCCTTATCTTGTCAACACAAAAAAACCAAAAAAAGAAACAAATAACTTAAAACAATTAGTTCCCTTGATGCATTTAGACAAAGCAATAAGAAGATGTAATTTGTTTGAATCGTGTACTGTGTATTTGCGCAACATATTTCGAACAGTCTGATCACACAGCCACGGACTTGTCATAGGAATATGTATATGAAAGTAACAAAGATTTAAGAGGTGAGAAAATAAACTTAGATCAAGTTAAAAGGACATATTGAAGATCAAAATAACAAAGAAGATCACTGAACCAAACAAGAGAGGTAATGGTACATCTACTCTGGCTAGTATCAAAATAAAGTTTACCAAGGAAGATTTAGTGTGATGACGAATTGTTGCTTTGAAGGCATAAAGGTGGTTTAAACTTCCTAATTGCTAGCTAGGGATTCCACAAACTTTTAGCAATGTCCCAAACACGTTTTATAGATAGATTTAAAAGAAGTGTGGTAACATCAATTTTATGTCCTGTCTCTATAATATGTTTGGCAATAGAGGAGCTAGGTCTCCTGGGGATTCTGTTTGCTTCTGAAACCATTTAGGAATATGCTCTGAAGCCAGCCCCTATATGCAGATATTGATGAGTCCTCCCTATGTATGTGTGGCCAAACGTACGGTCAAATTAGTAAATACAGTGGGATGTGACATTTTTCGGATGTTCAGAGGGCTTAGATAGATATATCGAATTCGTATTCTCAATTACTATGATATTTGCTGCATAAAAGTCTTTTTAACCACAGCAACGTTTAATCTTTGTCTGGTTGTCAAGCTGCTATTACCCCCCCCCCATATAAGGTAGCTTGATGTACATGTCTTTCTTAGCGGCGAGTTGGAGAGTGGGTGTCTTAGTGTTCTGCTGACTACTTTATATCTCCTAATGAACTTGTCTGGATAATTATTATCAACCAGAGTTTGTGTCAACTTTCTTTCTTCCTCATCAAGTCTTCTTATTGCTTTATCTAAATAAATAATTGAAAATGAAATGAAATATACAAATATGTCATTTACCTTTCATAAATTATGATTTGAAGACAAAAGTACACGCTAGAAAGCTTTCTTTACGATGAATAAAAAAAAACACACAACCCAACTATCTATCTACTATTCCTATCTATTATCCTTATTAAGTTCATTAATGCTATTAACAGCATGATTGTATATGTAAGGTGATAATTAAAAATATTTTCAAATGATTGTATAATTTCAAATTTTTAAGCTAGTCATTTATTTTTTATATTGTTAAAAGTGTTGTGTAATGTACTTGTTGTAAATGAGAAGAAAACAGAAAAGAAAAAAAAATAGAGATAGATTATTTGTCCTTAGCATATACAGCGATTTAATTAGACTTTCTTTTGCTCATGATATATTACTTACTACATACTATTTTCTATCTGTTATAACAAACAAACTGAGCGAAAAAGTAATATTCCTAATCAAATGTTGGTTTGCGGGGATTTTATTGGTTACAGGATCTCATTATGAGCTGATATCGGTTAGAGAACCACTATTGGAAAACCAGCAGGGAGTACTGAATAGCTGTTTCGTCATAAGGCTGGGGATTCTTCAGCAATAGGCACCAACCTATCGGTGGAGTTCGAACCCAGGACCTTCCGATTACAAGGTGAGCAAGCTAATAGACCATTAAGCCATTGAGGTCCAATCCAGTTGCCAGCTCATGAATTCTAACTTCTGTCAATTTACGATATAGTGCGACTGGCACTAGCCAGTGGCATCAGAGGCGAGTATTTGTCCTCACACCCAACCTGATGGACCCTGTTGGTCACGACTTCTCACTGGAACCCAGGCAACCACCTACATGATTAGGGTGGTCGGATTATATCGTGAATTGGCAGAAGTGGGAATACATGGGCTGGCAATTGGATGAGGTCCCGGTGGCTTAATGGTCTACGGCCTCGTTGGTCTAGTAACCGGAAGGTCGTGGGTTCGAACTCCACCGGTGGGTGCGTACTGATGAAGAGTCCCAAACTAGGCTGACGAAACAGCTGTCCAGTACTCCCAGATGGTTTTCCAGTGGTTCTCTAACTGATGTCAGCTCATGATGAGATCCTGTAACTGAATATATTCCTCTTCATTTAGTTCCTTATCATCAGCTCTACACTTACATCAAAACTGTACCAGTCATGTAGTTATTTCAGTCCATAAGAATCATCAGTTTTAGGAATACAAAGGGGGATGGTGAAAATGAGAGGTTAAAAATCATCAAAACAATTAACTAAGTAGATGTTAGCAACAGGATAACTAAATTCTGAAGGATGGATGGGTGGAAGTAATTACGGAATTCTAGATTAGTTAATTAGTAGGGGATGGCAACCAGTCACTACATAATCAAGAAATTTGTGAAATAATGATGACTAGATAGAATTACATAAGAATACGAAGATTCAAACAAGTTAATAATTGAATAAGCTAGAATTATAATCATAATCAATTAGTAAAAAAGTCAAAAGATGCTTACAATGGGAGGGAAAAATCTTTTGTAAAACTTAATACATATTATTTAGTTGGTCAAGGCGAAGAAAGGGTCAACACAAATTTATTTTGAACACACAAATTTGACTTGATCAGATGCATTCCGATTGTCTGGGATGTATGCAAAAGTCGTACCCGTCGACCATGTTCAACAAATTACGATAAATAACCATAAAAGCATTTTTAGAGTCACTTGGATGTTCACTTTCGACGAGATGATCTAGTACTGAATTGAGCATAATTTTATGCGAACTTTTGATGAATCAAGGTTCAAGGTGTTCAGAAATTCAACTATGAACTTATCTAATCGTGTGTTCAGTGTAACTAGCTCCACACGGGCAGTTAAACTGGTAGATACATATGAAAGAAGCGAAGCAAGGCAGTTTGTCTTTATTTCTTGAAATGAGTATTGGTTGGCTAGTGAATACACAGTGTAACTTGGCTACGTTAAAAGTCCTTTTGAATGCCCTTCCCTATGAACATCTCCCGTGAATCACAAACTTAGGAACACTGATTTTTTGGGAACTGTAGGCACCTTCGGCTGTTCACTTGCTGAGTTCATGAGCTTGTTTAAAAAAATAGAATTCCGTAATTATTTCACTCCTCCCTCCTTCAAAACTTAGACATCTTGTCACCAACATCTGCTAGTTAATTGTTTTGATGACTTTTAACCTTGGAGGGGATCCCACCTATACCTACAGCTGATAGTTCTGATGAGCTAAATTCAATTACATTATTGGTACAATTTTGTTGCCAAAACCTTATATTAGTGTAGAACCAGCCGATGATGAGGAGCTAATTGAAGAAAAGGAATATATTTCTTCGCTCAATTTACTATTTTTTCTAAATCTGTTAATGGGAATTTTCTAAATACTTTAACTGAAATCTTAAAAAATATCCCTATACAATTCAAAGTTTGAATATTTTAATCTCTAACTCATTGGGGGAGAGGTTTTTTGGATGAGAAGAGTAAGTAGGAGAGTGATGCTCAGGTAGGCTTCGTGTGCTTTTTTGGATGGGGGTCCTGAATACCCAAATGAGAATTCTTGGCTAATAGGTTTAAGGTTCACTGTGTCACTGTGAAGAGGATGTTTATAGATGGTATTGGTTGTCAAGAGCACTACATTGAGAATTGACATAAACTAGAATTTCAACCCAGTCCTTATG